AGTAAAGGAATATTAAAAATAGAAAAAAAAATATTTCAGTAATAATATTTCACATCATCAAGGAGTGAATGCATATTTTTAAAAATAGTAAATGTAAATTAAAAATAGAACGAAAATATTTCATTAATAATATTCTACATCATCAAATTAAAATGTAACGGAAATTAGGTAAAAATATCAATACATCTATATTCTAATTGACTGAAAATAAAAAAAATAATTGACTGAAAATGAATATAATATTACTAATTGATTGAAAATTTTATTAGGAATGAATATTAATAATTGACTGCAAATAAAAAAATGCTCCATAATTGACTAAAAAAAGAAGAAGAAATGACCAGATCATTGCATTTTAATTAAAAATAGAATGAAAATTAAAAATTGGAGAAAAATATTTTAATAATAATATTATACATTATTAATAGTAAATGCATATTTTAAACAATAGTAAAGGTAAATTAAAAATGAAATGGAAATATTTCAATAATAATATCTACATCATCAATTAAAAATGGAACGAAAATTAGGTAAAAATATCACTACATTTGATATTCTAATTGGAGTAATTGGTTAAATGACTGAAAATAAAAAAGAATAATTGGCTAAAAATGAATCCGATATCACTAATTGATTGAAAATATAAAAGGATAACTAATTGAGTTGAATAGGATTGTGTTGTCACTACCAATGTCGTCTACAAAGAGGTTTCAATAATGTGTAAATATAATCGGTGATATTAAGTTTTTTTTAATGAATAAATTGTTATATATCTAGACAAAAAAATATATCTTCCATACAAATGAATAAGCATACCAATTCATTTCTATAACTGAGTTGTTAGAGAACGGGCACATTTTCCTAATTTATGAAAATTCTAAACAATGATAAATAAAATCTTCAAAGTTATAGCACTGTATGCGTACATCTAGATATTAACTATTAATTTGAGCAATTATTTGCACAAATTCAAGCAATGATAACATCAAAATATATAAACGATCCAAACCATATATTTAATTGCACTATATAATATTTGATGTTCTAATTTAAATAATTATATATCGATTCATATATTCTTAATATATTACAACAAATCCATTCCGTGCATCGCACGGGTGCAAATACTAGTATGTAAAGTAAAATTATTTTGTAAAATTTATTTACAAAAGTAGACTTACATATAATCCTATAAACAGATAAACTTTCTATATATATATTTATCGGACTAATTGATTGGGCTGATAGTGACGTCCCTAATTGCAGCTGGACATATTGAGTTTGCATTAACAGGCCCAATCCAACAACCAATTCGGGCTTTTATATGTATTGATTGAGGTATTCCCTTCAGCAAGTAAACCGAATTCCATATCGCGTACGGACGAGAAACATATATACACTCATAGACCCTCTTTGCAATTCAATCTTACGTCTTCAGAGCTATTCTTCGTCTTCAATAACCATGGTGCTCGAGGTATGCTTCGTTGGTTTTACATACATTGTTCTTATTTTCACTATTCCAATGTAATCACAAGTTGGGGGTTTTTCTTTAAATTTCTATTATTTGTTACAGGCAACTATTATCTGCATCGACAATTCGGAGTGGATGCGGAACGGCGATTACTCGCCCAATAGGTTTCAAGCTCAATCTGATGCCGTTAATCTCATCTGTGGTGCAAAAACCCAGGTTTTTCTTACTTGACTGTGTAATTGTAGTGAAAGGAGTTTGTGATTTGGTGAACAGTTGAAATTTTTTGTGTAATTTTTAATTTTTTTTGGCTGATTATCCTATTTTGGATTTTATTTACTGTTGTGTAGTCTAATCCGGAGAATACAGTGGGGGTACTGACGATGGCTGGTAAAGGGGTTCGTGTTTTAGTGACTCCTACCAGTGATCTCGGAAAAATCTTAGCTTGCACGCACGGTGAGATTACAACCCAAAGCTTGTTGTTTTCAATGTTCATTAGCTTGCAGGGCAAATTTTGGCATTGATTAGGTATATAAGACCTGATAACTTGGGATGAGTGATGAATCTTAAGTGTCCTGCAATATTTAGAAATAGTCTAATTACATATAGAATGAATAACTAAGGGAGTCAAGTTATCATTTGTGCCCAAGCAATTCGTGGAGTGAAATTACTGTTTGTTTGGAGTTTGTGCTCACTTGTGAGTGACTATGCAATTTATGATTCTTGAGAGATTTAGCGTTCGTGTTAGTAGTTCTTTGAGCTGGCAGCTAAGAGGAAAACCAGAAGAAGCTACCTCTTTATGCTGAATCGTTCAAATTTATTGTTCTGTAATTGGTTATTAACTTTTATGTTTCTTATAGTACCAGTATATAGGAGTACATTTCCTTGATCCACTAATATACTTCCCTTATGGTACATCATTGTGTTTTCTAGTGAGTTTGTCCCTTAGGTATCATGTTTGGTCATGTAACAAAGCTTTTGTACCCAATTCAGGGTTAGAAATAGGTGGTGAAATGAATTTGGCAGCTGGAATTCAGGTGGCCCAACTGGCTCTCAAGCATCGCCAAAACAAAAATCAGCAACAGAGGATTATTGTTTTTGCTGGAAGGTGAGTATTGCTGGATTCTTCTGCATATTTTTGGATTTTTTGCTGCTATAACTTCTGATTTTTTATTTTTTTTTTTAAATCATTTTTTATATTGTCTCCTCAGCCCTGTTAACTATGACAAGAAGGTGTTGGAGATGATAGGGAGAAAGTTAAAAAAGAACAGTGTATCTCTGGATGTTGTTAATTTTGGTGAAGATGATGAAGGGAAAACTGAGAAGCTTGAGGCACTGGTTGCTGCAGTCAACAACAACAATAGCAGTCACATTGTTCATGTTCCTCCTGGTCCTAATGCTCTTTCAGATGTGCTAATAAGGTTTTGTAGCTGCTTCACACATTTTTATTTTTATTTTTTGAAAATAGCTGCTTCACACATTTAAATTGTCTAATTTCATGAAACTATAATGGCATGGCCAATTTTATATCTGGTCTGTACTCGGCAGTACTCCTATCTTTACCGGTGATGAGGAAGGAGGAAGTGGTTTTGCTGCAGCAGCTGCGGCAGCTTCAGCTGGTGGATTATCTGGCTTTGAATTTGGTGTCGATCCCAACTTGGATCCTGAACTTGCCCTGGCACTTCGAGTTTCAATGGAAGAAGAAAGAGCAAGACAAGAAGCAGCTGCAAAGAGGGCTGCTGAAGAAACTACAGAACCAGAGAAAGGAGAAAACCAGCCTGCTATCCAAGATGTTGGCATGACAGAAAATGTTGCTGCTGGAAGATCTGAATCTGAAAGCAAGGCTTCTGATCTAATGGTTGGGATCCTTCAATAACTATATATATTATAAGAAAAAGTGGACAAAAACCAAAAGGACTAGTTTCAATTTTCAGAAGTGAGTTTCATTAACACCCAATCTTTCTTGGATACATTTCAGGATGATGAAAATGCCTTGTTGGAGCAGGCACTAGCTATGTCTATGGATGTTACTTCTAGCGATACCACACGAGACATTAACATGCCAGAAGCAGCTTCAGATGAAGAATTGGCAATTGGTGAGTAATTTCAGTGGATAAGTCAAGTTCTCTTTGTAATTTTTAAAAGATTTTGATGGATTTATCCACTTGAAAACTGAAACATTTGGCCCACACTGTGGGCTTTTGGATTTGGTAAACATGTTTTTCTGCTCGTCTCTTATTCCAAAGTAACATTTGTGTGTAAGATGGTATTGCTCAAGTTAGTAATAGGTCAAGGCTGACCTGACACCAAATAGTCTCAAGTCTCAACTGATAGCCTCAGTGAGCCTTGCTCAACTTCCTGAACTATTTGAAAGTGTTCGAAATCTGTTCGGAATCTTCTGAAATCTGAACCGAGCCATTGTTCTAAAGAGTTTTCTTGTAGTAGTAATTTTCTGAATTGTCTTCCTCATGCTGTGCTTGTAGCCCTTAAATTGTCTTTGCAAGACGATGAAAGTGACCAGTCAAATCCTACTGATATGAGCAAGTTGTTGACCGATCAGTCCTACATGTCTTCTGTTCTTGCTTCCGTAAGTTTATGATATATTAAAGCATTCATTTTACTTCTAATCATATCATACTGGTTTTAACAATCCAAGTACCTATCTTTTTACACAGCTTCCAGGTGTTGATCCTAATGATCCAGCAGTTAGAGATTTGCTAGCTTCCATGCAAAGCCAGTCTGAGGTGAGCTCACTCATCCAACTAGTCAAATTAAAAGAGCACACAAATCCTATTACTGTGTGTCTCATGGTTATATATAGATTTATTCTTTGTGCCTTACCTATTGTTTCCTTTTATATTGGGATGAAAATTATAAATGATAGTAATATATGATTCACTGGAATTAGGAGAATAAATCATGAAAATAGTTGGGAATAACACCCAAATCTCAAAACCTTCATATGGGGTTTAGATATTCAATCATCTTAAAGAACCAAGATTAAGGTGTTTGCACATAAATTTTGGGTTTCTCCGCATTTCCTACACATAATGATAACTGGAGTTTGGCACTTCACATATTAAATACTCGTAACATTTACTTGTCGTCAAATTTACCTTGTTCCTGGTGAATCAGTTCTGATTCATTAGCACATTGGCATAAAAAATCGACGCCCTTTCTACATATGCTTGAAACTAGCCAGCCGCCTCCTTCCAACGCTTTCTAAAACTTGAATTTTATTTTACTTGGCTAGCCCCAGGAGAAGAAGGATGAGGATAACGCATCTAAAGAGGACAAAAACTGATTGCGTCCATCATGGTATGGTTTTAGATCTCAAAAGTCTTCCTGTATCCTTAACCTCTTCTTCATTATTTGTATCCATAATATTGGGCTTCCATGTTCTCAACTTCCCAGGTTATATCAGGATCAAGTATATTGCAGCATGCTGATCATATTATATTTGCTTCTGGGAATGCAAACCAATTCTGTGGTGTGTTGAACTCGGTTTCAGAATGCTGATGAAAATTTATTTGTCATTCTTCCCAAACAAAAAAATTTTATTTATCATGACACTGCCTGGGATTTTCTGTTATGTTAACTCTCTTTTATTCCGTAGCAAATGAACTACATGAATCGTGATCGGGCCACACTGATAATGTTAGTTGCCAAAATTGGCCCCGTTCCATTCGGGGCATTTCAAAACACGAAATCCATATTGCATGTCACTTACATTCATAATCGTTCAGTCTACGCATTCATAATCATAATGGTCCAAGCTTAAGGGGTGATGTCTAAAGTTAGACATCATGCCCCTTATATAGTGCAAAGTACTTTCCATACGCTTGACAAATGTATGACTTTCTTTGGCCTCTCATTTTATCCCATATGGTGTGTGTTTGAATCATATTGGTTGTACCTTAGCTTAGCATACACAATATATCAACTGGATGTACATATGTTGGACAAGGTCTACCATACCATGATGCGTAAATTGAGAAAACAAACAAGCGTAAATTGAGAAAACAAACAAATGTGATCAAACTAATAGTTAATAATTCAAAGTAAAAATATCACTATGATTATTATATGAGACCTTGTCTACCATACCATGATGCGTAAATTGAGAAAACAAACAAGCGTAAATTGAGAAAACAAACAAATGTGATCAAACTAATAGTTAATAATTCAAAGTAAAAATATCACTATGATTATTATATAAAAAAAAGGTCTCGTAATTAATAATTAAAAATAAAAATAGCACTATAATAAAAAAAATAAAAAATGAGTCTTGTGTGAAATCACCTCACAGGCTCACGTAAAACGTTTAATAATTTTAGAAAAATATAATATTTTTCTATACATTCATAAAAGATATATTTTAACTAAAATATATTACATATCTCACGATTCAAAAATCAAAATTGATACCAACTCCTTTTTGTTTAATCTTATAGTTACAGTCACCCTTTTTAAGTGTACAAATGGCATAGTCATTACTCCTTTTTTGTTTTCAAATAATAAATAAAATAAAAAGCACTAAAGACTCAAAAATAAACTATCCTCTTTGCTAGTACACTGCGTACCGCGTACGTAATAAAAGAATCTAAAAATAATTCTCCATCATGCTTCTTTATACTTTGGATTGATATCACAATTAATAAATTATATTAGGATAATTAGTTTTGGTAAACATCATTTTCATTTCTCCATACATCACTAAGATCTTCTTTATTGTTTTTTTGTTTTTTTAATTTAAAAAAATCAAACATACGTACCATCAAACTTTTAACGAAAAAGTAATTAGACATTTGGACTTTAAAAAGTTACAATTAAACATATAACTCGTCGCTTTGATGCAATTGAATCGATAACTTGTTAAATTATTATAATTAAGTCAACTAACCGGTAAACCTAGTTGGGCGACGAGAGAAATCCGCAGTCACTATTCAAAAGTGTGCACTGGATGGTGGGTAAGTCTTACTTTATGATCATAACCGACAAAAAATCATAAGGAGGTAAATCAACTTAAGTTGCCTATAACTGACCAACTCAAATCAAGAGGATTGAAAATCAAATTTGTGATTTTATGATAATAAATTTGTATCTTTAACCATTTTAGCTATGATAAGCACTAATTAGGGGAATTTTGTGATGGTATAGATGCAGCTACAAAGACTTTCACATCTCAGTTAATGGTGGACCCATGGCAGCTCTTGGCAGCAACCACCGGCCACAATCCAAAAATAATGCTCTATACGACGTGCCTTTGTCCTTTTATTATTATTATTTTTAAAAATTTGTATATTAATCTGATATTTATATTGTTATATCGGTTTCTAAGATGCATGATATGATGTTATGATAAAAATAAAATAAAATTATGATTTAGTGTATTACAATATCGTGAGCGTACTTTATATTTTACAAAGTACTAGAATTTTTGCGAAATTAAAGCGGAAACACCTAATAAACATTTTTCAATTGATTTTAGATGTAAGAGAATGAATACATTAATTACTCTTGAAGAGTGCATAGACCATTGGAGTAGAATTTGAGCAACCATGTAAAATTGATCAAAGTATTGAGACCTTTTTATTTCTTGTATAATTCTTTCATTCTTCGTGAATTTTAGGAGTTACTTATAGCCCTTTAGGGTTTAAAAGATTATATATATATATATATATATATATATATATATATATATATATATATAAAACCTCAACATACCTTTAGGAATTAATTTTATTAATCTCATTAACAATATTAATCCAACGTTGAATAACAATTTGTAACACATCTCCAAGACTCCAACTCTCTCTATGTGTGAGCATATAACCATTAATGTGTATCCAACTATGAGCTTAGGCTTTTAGTTGAGATAGAGCACATGCTTCACTTTGGTATCAGAGCTAGACCAAAGGTCATGAGTTCGAATCTCAGCGCCACCCACAAGCGACTACGGCATTATGCGAGACCATTTGGTGTGACTATCTAAATTTAGGTCAAATTCGCAATGAGAAATATTGAAACATTTGTCAATATTAGTTAAAAATATAATTTGTTGGTACCGTTGGTAGAAAACACAAATAATAATCAAATTAAAATTGACTATTATTTTCTAGAAAGAAGGGAAGAAAGGATGAAGAAATTTGGCTAGTGTTTGGTGTTGGGTTTTTGCAAGAGTCGAGTGAGCACTCTTTCTTTAAAACCTTATTTGCCACCTCCCAAAAGATGCTAGGAGCGTTGTGGCATAGGCTTCCCAGGATAAAACTTGCTATGATTCAGTGTTTGAGCATTCAAACAAAGAATCCGGCGAGCAAGACAATGGCTATGAACATAGTAGGCCAAGAAAGAGTAGAAGCAGAGAGGTTTTGAAGCTGAAAAAACGAACTTTCGTGTTCTATGTTTCTGTGTGTAAAACTCTACTGCCTCTACCCTCTCTTATATAGGGTTGAAGGAGCCAATAACCTTTATTATGGCAATTAAAAATGACATTAAAGCTGCCTTCCAACAGCTATAACAGCAGGCCACTACCTGAGAATTGAATTCAGAATTCAAAATTGGAATTAATAGACAATTAATTCCGTAACAGATGAATTCAATCCCCTCAACAGTCAGAACTTTCGGGTTCCTGACCGTTAGCGTACAGGGTTCGGTATCAACTTTCGACCTCATCCAGTTTCGGCCCTTGCACCTCTCGTGGACTCTGTTGCACGAGAGTTGTGCTCTCGGTGCACCACTACACGAGAGTAGGTGGCTGTTGCACGAGAGTTGTGCTCTCGGTGCACCACAACCTCTCGTGCTCTCTTGTAGCACGAGAGTAGGTGCTCTCGGTTCGGTTCTGGCCGAACCAAGTGGCTATACCAGTTGGAAAATGATACCGAAGTTTGGCATAACTTAGCCCGCAAGGCCAGCCAATTTTCGAACGACATTCGTGCCCCTAGGTGCCGGTGCACACGAGCTCTTTGCTAGTTGGAATTTAATTTGCACCCAACCCCCCCCCCCCCCCCCGCGCGAGAGAGCTTCTATGCTATACAATTCTACAAGCTTCAAAAGAGCTCTTGTATATAAGGGGGGAAAATCTTCATTCCAAAGCAATGTGGGACAAAAACCTCACTTTTTCCCTTCATTTTCCAACTCAAATGGGTCTACTTTGAGAATCAATATCTCATTCATCCATTATCCGTTTTGAGCGTACAATATATCGATCTCTTCGTCTCACTACGAAGAATCCGAATCCACTTTTACCCGACCCAAATCGGAAGTGGACCCCACTGATACTTGTACCACAAAATAGCCACTTAACATGCCATTTTATGCCATTTTAAGCTATTTTTTCCAACATAATTCATAACTATCTATAAATTATGATTGATTTTTAGCAATATGTTATAATTATCCAGTTGACAATGAAATAGAACATGGTCATTACAAACATTGTTATTACAATTACCATGCAATAAAATCCTTCTGTACATTTGTTCTAAATTTGATAAAAAGTCATAGTCAAACAACGCAAACTTATTAGTAGCTTAAAATAAGGTATAAGCTCCTAAATAAGTTTTGTCAAACAGACTCTTTGCAATAATCCTAAAATGAAGTCTAACTTCACATCATTTATGGAATACACACATCTCCCTGCAAAACTAGCTAGATTAGTCAAATATACACTTAACCAACCTTGCATGATAATGAGGATAAGTAAAAAAAGGCCACATCATAAACTAACTAATCCAATTTGTTGATGAGTAAGTATGTTTCATATAAGGAATAATAATGGAACGAATTGGGCCAGACTCATAGTACAGAGGTATTTTTGTAATGAGAAAATTTTAATTTTGATCACATGACTATAGGGGCATTATTAATTTCAGCACCTGACTTACAAAAGTGTCAATTTAGTACCTTGACTATGTAATTTTTGTCAATTTTGATCACTCCGGTCAAATTGACGGTCAAATTTGGCCGGAAACATTTAATCAAACATTTAGTCTATAATCTGAGGGGCAAAATTGTCTTTTGATCCTTTCTAGACTAAATGTTGGATTAAATTTTTCCGACCAAATTTGACCGCTAATTTAACCGGAGTGATCAAAATTGATAAAAATTACATAGTCAAGGTACTAAATTGACACTTTTAAAAGTCAGGTGTTGAAATTAACAATGCCCCTATAGTCATGTGACCAAAATTGAAATTTTCTCTTTTTGTAATTATACATATTTGGGGTTGCATATAATGCTAGCTTATGATTATGCTAGTGATATGATAATAAATGTTTTACAACAGGGTATGTCTTTACTTTTGTTGGTGGTAGTCCTATTTGTTGGAGGTCATCAGTTTAGTATGCTGTAGTTTTGTCTATAATTGATGAGACAGAATACATGGTTGTGACTGAGGCAGCTAAAGAGGTTTTGTGGCTTACAAGTTTGACTAAGGAATTGAGTATTGAGCAAGGTGGAGTTAAGTTACATTATGATAGTCAGAATGTCATCTTTTTAGCTAAAAATCAAGTATATCATGTCAGAACCAAG